GGGGGGGTGGCAGGGCCTGGGGCTTGGGTCCCATGGGGGGGCGGCAGAGACGGTTGGCTGGATCCCAGGCCCCACATGGAGCACACTGCCTGACTCACTTACTTGGGATCCCCGACACCAGCTTCAGCGGCCGGAGCACACGCACTGCCCGCAGCGTTCGCAGGTCGAAGTCAGAGCCGACCTTCGCCAAGATGCTGCAAGAGGCAAAGGGGAGAGCGGCCCAGTGAGGGGCATGCTGGGAAGCAAGGCCTCCTACCCCGACAGGGGAGCCCCTCCCCCTGGGACAGTCATTTCGCCAAGCGGGGGTGGGGGGGCTCATTGCAACTGGGCAGCCTCCCACCCAGCAGCGGCTGCACTGTGAAGGAAAGGGAATCGCGCCACATTCAGACCTCTGGGAAGGGGATTTAATCTAGCTCGGAGCTTGCCGCTTTCTTACACTAATTAAAAGCCGAATCCCCGGGGTTCAGCCAGTGACTCTGGTCACAAAGCTTCTGTCCCTCCTGGCTGCCAGACGGGAATCGGCAAACGCACAGGGGCCGAGCCAGGGGCGTCTGGGACTCCACGCCCCCCCACGGGTGGCCGCTCAGAGGGGCTGCTCCTGGGCCAGACCTTGGTGGATGCAGGAAGGGAAGGGATTCTGGGATGGGGACCCCTGGCACTAGCGTTACAAAGGAGCCGGAGACATGTTGGGAGGGTGACCTAGTTCCACACACCAGTGCCTGATCCAGATCCCGACAGCCTGGCCCATCGTCCCTGTGCTACCGTTCACCCCCAGAGCACGGCCAGAACCCCAATAATCCAGCAACTCTTCTCCAGCGTAGGGGCGCTGCAGGCCCCTCAGCCATTCACAGTGCTGCCCCGACACTCGCCAGGCTTTGGAGCACGTTCCCCCGAGATCTCCAGAGAGGTGGGGAGGCAGGCCCCAAACAGCAGTAAGTTTGCTCCTGTCTAGAACCAGGCCTCTCTGAAGCACATCCCGGAGAGATTCAAACTGTCGCAGGCCTGTGGAGTGGGGGCCGATGTGGAGAACAGGTGAGGAAATGCGTTTCTTGTGTGGTGGGCTGTCCGAGCCCTAGGAGGCTCCATCTGTGTGCTGGTGGTTGGCTGTGCTGTCGGAGGCTGCATTTGTGTAGCTGTTTGTCTGGCGTTTGCACCCTAGAACACTGTGGTTGTGTGGTGAGTGCTCACACTTTTGGATATCATATTTGTGGAGTTATGTGGCTCTACAATGCCATATCTGTGTGGCTGTGTATCTGGCACTTGGTGTCTAGGATGCCATAGTTGTGTGGCTGCGTATTTGTGTGGCTGTGTATCTGGCTCTTGGTGTCTAGGATGCCATAGTTGTGTGGCTGCGTATTTGTGTGGCTGTGTATCTGGCTCTTGGTGTCTAGGATGCCATAGTTGTGTGGCTGCGTATTTGTGTGGCTGTGTATCTGGCTCTTGGTGTCTAGGATGCCATAGTTGTGTGGCTGCGTATTTGTGTGGCTGTGTATCTGGCTCTTGGTGTCTAGGATGCCATAGTTGTGTGGCTGCGTATTTGTGTGGCTGTGTATCTGGCTCTTGGTGTCTAGGATGCCATAGTTGTGTGGCTGCGTATTTGTGTGGCTGTGTATCTGGCTCTTGGTGTCTAGGATGCCATAGTTGTGTGGCTGCGTATTTGTGTGGCTGTGTATCTGGCTCTTGGTGTCTAGGATGCCATAGTTGTGTGGCTGCGTATTTGTGTGGCTGTGTATCTGGCTCTTGGTGTCTAGGATGCCATAGTTGTGTGGCTGCGTATTTGTGTGGCTGTGTATCTGGCTCTTGGTGTCTAGGATGCCATAGTTGTGTGGCTGCGTATTTGTGTGCCTGTGTATCTGGCACTTGGTGTCTAGGATGCCATAGTTGTGTGGCTGCGTATTTGTGTGCCTGTGTATCTGGCACTTGGTGTCTAGGATGCCATAGTTGTGTGGCTGCGTATTTGTGTGCCTGTGTATCTGGCACTTGGTGTCTAGGATGCCATAGTTGTGTGGCTGCGTATTTGTGTGCCTGTGTATCTGGCACTTGGTGTCTAGGATGCCATAGTTGTGTGGCTGCGTATTTGTGTGCCTGTGTATCTGGCACTTGGTGTCTAGGATGCCATAGTTGTGTGGCTGCGTATTTGTGTGCCTGTGTATCTGGCACTTGGTGTCTAGGATGCCATAGTTGTGTGGCTGCGTATTTGTGTGCCTGTGTATCTGGCACTTGGTGTCTAGGATGCCATAGTTGTGTGGCTGCGTATTTGTGTGCCTGTGTATCTGGCACTTGGTGTCTAGGATGCCATAGTTGTGTGGCTGCGTATTTGTGTGCCTGTGTATCTGGCACTTGGTGTCTAGGATGCCATAGTTGTGTGGCTGCGTATTTGTGTGCCTGTGTATCTGGCACTTGGTGTCTAGGATGCCATAGTTGTGTGGCTGCGTATTTGTGTGCCTGTGTATCTGGCACTTGGTGTCTAGGATGCCATAGTTGTGTGGCTGCGTATTTGTGTGCCTGTGTATCTGGCACTTGGTGTCTAGGATGCCATAGTTGTGTGGCTGCGTATTTGTGTGCCTGTGTATCTGGCACTTGGTGTCTAGGATGCCATAGTTGTGTGGCTGCGTATTTGTGTGCCTGTGTATCTGGCACTTGGTGTCTAGGATGCCATAGTTGTGTGGCTGCGTATTTGTGTGCCTGTGTATCTGGCACTTGGTGTCTAGGATGCCATAGTTGTGTGGCTGCGTATTTGTGTGCCTGTGTATCTGGCACTTGGTGTCTAGGATGCCATAGTTGTGTGGCTGCGTATTTGTGTGCCTGTGTATCTGGCACTTGGTGTCTAGGATGCCATAGTTGTGTGGCTGCGTATTTGTGTGCCTGTGTATCTGGCACTTGGTGTCTAGGATGCCATAGTTGTGTGGCTGCGTGGCTTTTTTGTGGAAAACCGCGTCTAGATTGGCCACGGATGCTTTTCCGCAAAAAGCGCTTTTGCGGAAAAGTGTCCTGCCAATCTAGACGCGCTTTTCTGAAAATGCTTTTAATGGAAAACTTCTCCGTTAAAAGCATTTCTGGAAAATCCTGCCAGTGTAGACGTAGCCTTGGTGTTTAGAATGCTGTAGTTGTGCAGTTGTGTGGCTGCATAGCTTTGTGGCCGCATATTTGTGTGGCTGTGTATCTGCCACTTGGTGTCAGGATGCCGTAGCTGTGTAGTTGTGTGGTTGTGTAGCTGTCCTGAGGTGATGCTGGCGGCCTCGTGCTGCCCTGTTCCGTGTGTTTCCATTGGTGCCAGCTCAGCGAACCAGGCTGGGGGTCTGCAGCAGCAACTCCCCTGACCCCAAGGGCCTGCCCTGGGTTCACATCCTCGCAGTCGTCCTGCTGCCCCCCCCGCCGCTGCCTGCAGTGTGGCCGGCTGGCCGAGGGGTGGCGCCTGCCCCCCGGCCCAGCCCTCCAAGCCAGCAGGAGATGGAGGCAGGTTAGATTCCCACCGGCTTCTGCATCTGGCTATTTTTAATTACAGAATTAGCAAGGCCACCCCGGCCTTCAGTGCTGTTGCATGCGGCCGTCAGGCGGGTATTTATAGTCTCGCTGAGCAGTGGCGTCAGTCTCTCCTAGGAAAGCTGCTCTCACCTCCCCGGAGCTGGGAAGGAAGAGGTGGCAGGAGCCTTAAAAAGGGGACAGCAGACTGATGGCACCATGGGGGAGTATGAAAATCTTCCCTGCAGCAGGGATCCAGGATACCCCTCGCTCAGCGTCCCTAACGTAATCGGGCAGACAAACGCGGCGCCAGGGTCATGGAAATGCAGCCTCCTCTGGGGTGGGGAACAGCAGCTGTTTAAAAGCGGAGCAATGATGCTCTACTACTGGAATGTCAGGGCTGACATGCAGCCACCTCTGGGGAGGGGCACAGCAGCCACGCAGGGCTTGCTCACCAAACGGTGACCATGAATGGGGCTGTGAAATGAATGGGGCTGTCACATCTCATGGCTGGAGGGGGACAAAATACTGGGGAGTCCAGCTCTGGCTAGTCCTGAGCACCTCCAGCAGGCAGGCCCGGGCCAGCCATGAATGTCAGGGCTGACATGCAGCCACCTCTGGGGAGGGGCACAGCAGCCACGCAGGGCTTGCTCACCAAACGGTGACCATGAATGGGGCTGTGAAATGAATGGGGCTGTCACATCTCATGGCTGGAGGGGGACAAAATACTGGGGAGTCCAGCTCTGGCTAGTCCTGAGCACCTCCAGCAGGCAGGCCCGGGCCAGCCATGGGGTGGTACCTCTTGTTCTGTGGATAGCAACAACCGTAGCACTGTGGCCACACACCCCGGGCCACGCCACCCCTTCCTCCCCCTTAGTGTCTCCCAAACTGCCTCAGCTTCCCCCCCCCCCCC